AGAGAGAGAGACAGAGAGAGAGAGAGAGAAGACTGACTGGGCTTCTTTTGTTAAAAATTTATAGGGGCCCAGTGAAAGAGATGTGTAAATATGGTCTTTCACTGCTTTGAAATTTGTAATAAAACTTATTTCTGCTAATGTCACCTCTGGATATAGCATGGACCAGCTGTAAGTGTCGTTTGACTGATGGTTTGGGTAGAAGTGAAGCTGGGCAGTATTTTCTTTTGTGACATTTTCCCATTCTTTTTATCCTTTGGATTGTAAGAACAGATGACTTCCCGTTGAGTTACAGAAAGCTGCCTCTTTGTGTATTGTGTCTGAAAACCTAGGCTGGTATCTTTTAAATACTTATAGTATTTCTTTCTTTTTCAAATAAAATGGACTTTTCCAAGTTTGGTAAGAATGGGTTTTCGGGCAGTTGCATCTGCCATTTGATGAGACTAATGTTGAGTGCTCAAATGCAGACCAGTTTGCAAGCCAGTTGAGTGTATATTAGTGAAGGTTGTAACCTTTCATTTACACTGAGACCTTTCTGACAATATAGTAACTGTTGCAGGACACCAGGCACATACTGATACCACCTGGGGAAACTAGACCTATTGTACAGAAATGGTGGACACTGGCAGTCGAATCTCTTGTAAATAGTAGCAGCAAGATTGTTACATTCCTCATAGGAGTCTCTTGTAAATAGTAACAACAAAATTGTTGCATTCCTCACAGGAATCTCTTGTAAATAGTAACAGCAAGACTATTGCATTCCTCTTTTCTCCCCCGACATCCCTGTGCCAGCCAGGTATATTTAAGGAGCTCTGGCCTTGCAGTGAGCCTCTGCAGTAGTGGGCTGGTGGAGTGGGCATCACTGGGTGCCCTAGCCCTGCAGTAGGCATTTCTGTAGCAACTACTTTGGCCACTTGTTGGTTGAAGTACTGAATGCAGAGACAAATTGCATGAGTCTATTTCCTAAGCCTCTCCTGATTGGCTTAGCACAGCTCGTCCATTGATAGTCGCTGACGACCTGACAGTCGAGAGGTAAAAGTGTGGCTTACATCCGTGAGAAGGAGCTTTGTAGCTTTCATGCTGTATTTCAAGTAGATGTGAGGCATTGTACCCACACTCTCAGCAAGTGAGCTAGCTTGAAATCTTTTTTATAGTTAGATTACACTAACGTGTAGAACACGCTGTGTGTGGTGGTGTGCACAGGGAGTGTTAAAATTGAAGAAATAGAAAATAGCCAGGCTTGTTTGCTGCTTTTGCAGTCTCTGTAAGAGTATAGAAGTGGCATCTGGCAGAAACAAGAATAAGAGACCAGAATAAAAAAGTAAAATGCTTGGTGGACATAAGGGCATTAGCTGTACAGTGGTACCTAAGATCTGCAGGGTGTGAGAGCTGGCTTGACCTTCCACCAAGGGCTACTGTGCACATCTTCCCAGATGCCATCCTCATCCAGATCCCAGCAAGGGCAAAGAAGCTCAGGGGCTCAGCACACTTGGACTCTTAGTCCTGCCTTTGTTTCCTAAACAGCTGTATTAAGGATTTATCTAATGTTCTGTTCCACTTGTAACACATCAGAGCACTAACTTAGTGGCTTCAAAATCAGCATTCATGTTCACTTGCTCTCTGCCTTATTTTTCTTACCTTCTATTTTTTTTATTTTATTTATTTTTCTTTAGGCAGGGTTTCTCTGTGTAGTCCTGCCTGTCTAGGAATTGCTCTGTAGACCAGGCTGGCTTTGAACTAATAGAGATCCACCTGCCTCTGCCTCTCTGCTTCTCTGCCTCTCTGCCTCTCTGCCTCTCTGCCTCTCTGCCTCTCTGCCTCTCTGCCTCTCTGCCTCTCTGCCTCTCTGCCTCCCTCTCTGACTCCCTCTCTGACTCCCTCTCTGACTCCCTCTCTGACTCCCTCTCTGCCTCTGCCTCCCAAGTGCTGGGATTTAACGCATGCCCCACCACTACCCAGCTTTCCTTACTTTTTAAAACAGACTTTTTGATACCTTTTAGCTCGAGAAAAATAACATGATTGCTTATAGGTGGTACTTTGTGAAACTTGTAGTGAGTTACATGAGATTTATTTAAAACTCTAGTATTCCCTGAAGAAAAAAAAATTACAGGTGAAAAGTCAATTGAAGTCTTGAGAGTGCACAGCCCAGCTTCTGAGTGTCTTACAGTTCCTTCTGCTGGGCACTGAGCTCTGGGTGAGGAAGTACTCATCTTCTTAAACAAGAGAGAAGCTTGGATTCACACTGATCTTTTGGCAAGGCTAGATTTGGTTATATGTTGTGAATATTTATGAATGCCCTTTACAAAAAGTCTTAGCTACACTGAAGACCCTTGTGAGATAAGAGACCTTTACTCAGTCTTAAACACAGTACTGGAAAGCCTGAGTTTCTTGCCCCACGAATCAAATGTTTACAAGTTATTTTTTTCTGATTTAAAGTATAAAGATAATTTTTAAAGAAATCTTAGTTAACACTATGAATAAAAAATGCAGGCCTTAAAGAACTATCTACTTCTGAGAGGACATTTCAGCCGGAGGAGGCAGAGACACAGGCTGAGCTGGAGGAGCAGGCCCCCGAGGGCGAAGGTAAGTGTCCCTGAACACTCTCCAGGGCTGCTGGGCCTGCAGGTATCTTTGCAGTTACAAAGTCATGTCTTACCCAGTTGTTCGCATCAGTTATAAAATGAGCTACCATTTGTTCTATTCTGGAATTATAATAAATAATCTTGTAGTGGAAATGTGTATAGGGTTGTTTTAATTTGTAATCAAAATTCCAAGGCACAAATTATTGTTGTCCATTGCCCATGACCATGCAGTTCGGAACAACAGAAGCCAAATGTGTCCTGACTCTCTTACCTTATCGTATCCAAAGTAAAAAACCAGAAATAGGATTCCAGCAGGGCTGAAGATCTAACACCCCCCCATCCCCATGCCAAAGCCTCTGTAGACCTTCTTGTCACACAGTTTCTGTCTCTGGTGGCTTCGTAGATCAGTTCATATTATTTCTATAAAGGTACTTTGACTCCATAGATTGGGTATGCCGAAATATTTTAATAAATTGGCACATAAAATTTTAGTCTATCACCATCGTTTTCTGATTGTGGCATAGGAATTATAGAATATTAGCTTCTGAACTTTGTTGAACTACTTAAGAAAATTGGTTTTATTGTGCCACCTATTGGAAGTGCTGGATATGACACTATTTTGGAAACTACAGTGCCCAAGTTGTGCTGGTGAATACCATTTGATTTTCTTTACTTCGTTCCTTTAAGAAATGATACATTAGTCTAAGTCTTACTATGTGTTCGTTTCAGAACCTTAGGAGAATTTAGTGTATCCCTCCCATGCCTGTGGAATTGGTATATGGCTTCAGAATCCGTAATACTTTTAAAAAAGGTTTTTAAGTTAAATATCTGAATTTAACACATAATATTTTACTTTGTACTAAATAAATTTGTAGTTAAAAAATTAGTTCTAGGGCACATAGTGGGTCTGAGATGTTCGACCTTCTCTCCATTCTTCCCTTTGGTTATTAGAATCACTCATATTCTTTGCACACGATTGCTACCTCCCAGCGCCCACTGGTGTACTGTTAGTCCCATTCTTCCCGACCTCTCAGCAATGCCCCTTCCAGATTGCATTCTGCTCTCTCAGCTGTTCCCTTGTTGACACCTTAGCTCTTCTTTTCCTTCTCTGGCTTCTTCCACCTGTTTCACAAATACAGCTACTTATCTCTCATACAGTGCAGTAAGATGAAGCCCTCGATGCCCTCCTAATGCCTCCTCCCCCAACTTGTCTCTTCACTGTCGTGCCTACACTTGAAAGGATGCACAACACAGCATTGCCTTTTTACTTGATTTCCTCGTCATTCTTTAACATGTTGTAGCCCAGCATCTGCCTCTGCTCCATCTCCAAGGGAGAAGAAAGTCATGTAGAGAATCAGAAATGAAGTGCCAGGAAGAGCTCACCTAGTTCAAAACAAGCACTCGTAACAGACGAGTCTGGAAAAGTGTGGAGGACCTGATTTGTAGTTCTCAATTCATGGTGGCGTCAGAGTCAGTAAGGAGCCAAGCATAGGAGCAGAGAATCCCCGTGCCCCAGCTAGAAACCTTCCTGTGCTCTCATAGTAGCAGAGCATCCCTACACCTTCCTGTGATGCACTGGATGCTTTCTCAGCATTTGTGAAATAGCCCAGTGAGGAGGCTGTCACAAACACTGAGAGATAGTGAAGGAAGAGTAGAGATGACGGACCTGTATAATTACATCTTTATGCTGTAGAAAGGTTTTAGTAAGTGATTAGCATAGTGTGTTAAACGCTTCCCCTGCCTGAACTTTGAATTTGTTCAGTCTATCACTGAAGATCTGTACTTTGTGGTTACCATCTTTGGCATCATCCTGCAAGAGCCACTGATGGTAACAGGATGAAGTCTAACATCGTTATTCACCAACCTGGAACAATGTTGTTGTAGAAACAGCTTGCTGTGTAATGTTGGAGTATATCTTATAGTCAGATAAGTGCTATGGTGTTGTGGGAGTGTCATCATTAATGGCCACTTTTATAAGTCATTATTACTTGAGTCTGGGGATCTGGCCTTCCAGATACATTGTTCTGAAGCTGATAAGAATAAGAAATTCATTATCATTGCAAGCTCCATATTTGTGTCGGCCAACCCTACTCACTAGGGTCCTCACACCACCAATGGTGACTTTCCTCCCCTCAGGAGTTCCGAGTTGGTCACATTGTTTAGTGTATATTAAATTTGGTCTTTCCCAATACCCCTCTTTATGAAAAGTTTGCCTTTGCTTCCAACATGAATGGTAATTTTATTAATTAAATGTTAAAAGCATTTTCTTTTAGACTATTTTTAAAACAAAAACCTTATACTTAAATTAGTTTCTCTTTTTAAAAGTCTTTTGGAAAGTCTCTTAATGTTACACCTACTAGGCAAATAAAGCCGATTTTAAGTATCTGTGTTTGCTGATGTAGGGGAGTAAATATCATATGGAGAGAAAAATACAGAGCCTCTTAGCCAAATGTGGTCATTGCAATATGTGTGTAAATGCCATATTTAAGTGTTGGAATTTCCTATTAATACTTCAGCATTATTTACTTATTTATTTATGATTTGTAATTATTTTAGAAGTCCAGAATGTTGAAGATGAAGTAAAAGAACAACTTCAGTCCCTTCTTCAGGAATCAGTACACACAGACCATGGTATGAATTCAATTCTGTTTTACACAAGTTCCTAAAATAATTGGGTTTCTATAACTTCATTCCAAGTAATTATAGACTAATTGTTACTTTGAGGGGGAGCACTGGATATACTTTTCAAAATCCCACCTCACTGTGAAGGAGTTTTATGGACATATTTAATTTAAAAATCATATCAATAAATGAACATAAATAATTCAAGGCCTGGGTTCTATCAAAAATAAGTGGAGAGTCAGAATGGAGTGACCAACACAGGCCAGTGGGCTCTGGCTGCTTGTCTTAGAGTGGTCCTCCATCTTTGGGAGCATCATCTATGCCTGTGTTCATCAGAGACCAAATTTAAAGTCAGCATGGCTCATGAATGTCAGTTCTACAAAGATCAGGGTGCAGAATGGTTCCAGGAACTAAGGCATGTGTGATGAACAGCTACCCGAAGAGGAAAAAAAATCCATTCTCGAGCCGAGTTCCCTGCCTCACTTTCTTGGGTTTGTGTTATATCCTTAGAGAGATTTTCTGCATAGAGAGTTACACAGGTGGTCCATAGCTTCAGACATCATGTAAGTGTTGCTACTCCTGTACATGTCACCAATGACCCTTTAGACGTCTTACTGTACCCAGCTACAGCTCTGTTTGGGGATGCTATGGGTGACTCATACTGTGCTCAGCAGAGACTTTGCTTCCCCGTGCAATCTCAGATCCTCATTAGCCTTTCCCAAGCCAATTGCTCTCACTTGAGCTTTTTATATGCTCGGTAATGTCTTTGCCAGGTCTGTAGTGGCTCAAGTTAAAACTCCATGTGTTTTCCATGATTTCTTTGCTCTTGTAGCTGCAAGCCCTGTCCAAGTTGCTCTTAACACATGTTCTGACTCTTGTTCCTCCTTGTCAGTTTTTGGCATGGCTCTGCAGTGGCACTTGTCTTTGTGTATTTCTGTTCTCTCTTCTGCATGCTGTGTTGGGTGTGGCCTTATCAGTTAGGCGTTTTCACACAGCCTCTTAACACAGCTAACTGTCTCTGTCTCTTATAATAATTTTATCTTGTCTGTCCTAGGGCCTTTGCATCTGCTGTGTCATCTGCTTGGGTGTTTCTCATTCCTGCCTCATCTTCACCCTTCATCAGACTGAGATTGGCCTCCTTGGGCCTATTGTCCTGAATCTCATTGCTATACTGCATCTGCCATGTATTAGCTGTGTGCCTTGAGTACAGTCCCTCCTGTTTTAGAGTTGTGTAGCAGCATCAGCCGTCTGGAGAAAATTCAGTAGCACAGAGGGCTGGAGTGAGTCCAGGATGTGGTTTTTTTTTTTTTTCCCTCACACATGGCTGACACTGACTCAGCACTAGACTCAAAGCCACTGGACAGTGCTTTCATGGTTTCTCTACTGGGAACAATGACATGTTCATTAAACAGCAGTGCTGACTGGTAGTGATGCAAATCACAGAACTTCTCTGGATGGGATGAAGGGAGAAGGGATGAGGACTGTACTCAGTAGAGTCCCACCGTTCCCAGCAATTGCTCTTGGTGAGCGGTTTGCTGAGTAGCAGATCTGAGAGGAGGTGAGACTCCAGAGCAGGGGGTGATGATGGGAAGCAGATCCTGGTCATCCTCCTGTAGCTCTCTGAGAACGCTTGCAATCTGTGAAAACAAAAATAGTATTGAACTCCACCCTATTGCTGAACCCCGTCCCCATCTTTATCATATACCGTGGCTGTAATTTCATCTGTTAAAGGTACAATAGCAAAATGAACACTATTTTTGCCACAACATGAAGATTTTGTAGCTATCTCAAATTCTCTTTCTTTCTCTTTCTTTCTTTCTTTCTTTTTTTCTTCCTTCCTTCCTTCCTTCTTCTTCCTTCCTTCCTTCTTCTTTTCTCCTCTTTTTAAAAAAGATCAATTATAAAAACACAGTATGTGTATTATTCCGTGGCATAGCCAACATCACTATTCTTGTGCTTTGGTGCCATTATCAAGTTAAATAAGTGTGCCACATGACCTGGACCAAAGGATGATTCATGTCTCTAGTGGGATGGAGCGGCAACTTCTATAAAAGTATCTACACAAATAGGTCAATATGATTCAGTGAAACCCAACACTACCATGCCACACTATGCAGAATAACTAAAGAGCGCTTCCTGTGGTCATGAGTGGTTCAATAGCAGAAAGAATCCTACTATTTCTATAGTAATCACAGTGGGTAATGACCACAGCGAGATACTTCTGCTGGGCCAGGCATATTTCTCACTATTTTCATTCTCTTATTGATGCTATGAATAGATCATTATTATTCCAATTTTGTGGAAGGGAATCTCAAGCATGGAGTAGATAATTTGTCTGCACTCAAACAGCTGGAGTAAAAAGCCTAAATCTTGCTGCCTCCTGAGACTCCAGACTCCCAAATATAGCCTAGTCCAGCTCAGTCAGCTTCTTCAACTGCAACATTGCTTACAAAAAGAAATCTGCCAGAAGCCATGTCATTGTGGGGTAATTTGAGGGAAAGGTCACATTCAAAATTATATTGAAATGGAATAATGTCACAGATTCACTCAGATTTACTCAGAATATCCTAAAAAAAAAGAACTCAGCAATTAACTTCACATCTCTGCTAACTAAAACGCTAAGCCTAGGTCAATTTGGATGCACAGTGTGAGGTGTTTCTGTGGTGTAGCAATGTGATTGAGAGCATAGCCAGCTGCTCTCCACTTTAAAGCATTTGAATTGTCAATTGTAGTTGCTACATGGAATTTGACAGTTCTCCATAAAAGATCTCAATGTAACCTTTTTTATGACTCCGGTATTATAAAAGAGATGTGTATTAGTAATTACAATTTAATTTATTTTTTCATCATATTTAGGAGCACCTCCATTGGCTAGTCAGAGTCCCACCTGCTTAGTATTCAGTACGACCAACGTGATGAGGCGCTATCCTCCAGAAGTGACTTTCAGACAGACTGGCACTGACCAGAGTGAGAAAATAGCTTTAGAGGGGATAGTGACAGAGGCCCATGGGTGGCTTCAGATGAGTCTGTCTAGGTAGGCTGTCACTGTGGGTCCTTACTGTTCCTCTCGGTCTCTGTATTTCTCTTTGTTGAAGACCTCGAAGCAGATGGGCCAGCAGGAGAACCACAGCCAGAGGTTGAGGACTTCCTCACAGTGACTGACAGCGATGACAGATTTGAGGACCTGGAACCCGGGACAGTTCATGAAGGTAGAACACATTTTTTAAGACTAGTTGATCGTTTGTAGGGTAATTACTAAAAATACCCTAAAATTCCTTTAAGAGCAACATTTAATTTTATCTAAATATTTTGAAGATGAAGCTGAATGCTTCAAAATGTATAAAGTGTTCTCTAAAAGCAAACTGATACCCGATTTGTTTCAAAGCCTGACGGAAAATCAGTAATAAATGGGTTTCTGTTAATAGTATGTGGAGACTTTTCCTCCCATATTGCCCCACCTTGGTGCTGTGCATTATGTGAAGTTCAAGTCCTGATGAAGTATGCTTCCGCTCTGTCCCTGGCTTCTGTTCCAACAGCACCTTCTCCCTTGCTGCCGAGCCCATCTGTAGCTTCCATAGCACAGTCTAAGTAGTCCGGAATCGAGTGTTCTCATCTAGAGGAGAACTCACTAATTTCTAGAACACTCAGCTACTATTGCAATGCAGAGACAGTCATGGACTGTAATTGAGTATAAACACGGCTGTGTTTCCATGAACCTCTGTTTACAAAACCAGCTAATAAATAGTTGTAAAAACTGCAAGTCACAAAACAGCAAAGCATGTAGACATCTGATGTAATATACTGCGAAATTTGTTTAGTGGTAGCTCCTTGTTTGTGTGTGGTGGGTTTTAAAGCTATCATTCAAGTCTGCTTAGAGCAGAAGAGGCATTCTTCATAGAAAATCGATAGCATTGATGGCTGTTGTTCACCCAGCTCTCAGGAGCGCACTTAGTGTACCTTCAGACTTATCATTTCTACAGGAACATGTTCTAATTTTCTGAGTTCTAAGCCGTCCTAGTCTCTGTAGCGAGTGCTACACCAGCAGTAGCCACTTAGTGAGACTTAGTCTGAAAACAAAGTAACAAAACCAACCAGCAGCCATTTTTTTTCTTTTTTATAAAACAGACATCCTTCTTTCTCTATGCAAAGGTACCCCAGCCCCAATTCTTGTTATGTTGCTGAAGGATCCATGACTTCATTTTCATGTGTCATGCTTATCCCTTTGTCTTTGGCTAAGATGGCTCAGCATGGTTTACAGTGGCTCAAAATTTTTACTGAGGTGCTGTTAATCCAGCAAATTGCAATAAGTAGCAGGAAGGATTTAATATCAGTAATGTTCAGCTCTGGGCAGGAAGAAACACTTCTAAGAAGTCTGTAAGTTGAAAAAAAATCTTATTTTCTAATGTAATCTTTGATAAAACAGATTAAATACAGACCAAAAAGTCTTATCATTAAAACTCTTCTATATTCGCTAAATAAATTACACAAAGGTTAAATCATGACAAACAGACAAGGAAGTACAGAGTAGCTGTGTTGTAAGCAAGGGGTCCAGAGGGAGTTCAGGGAATGGAGAAAGGATGACAGAGGGCAGACATGATCAGAACAGATTCTGCACATGCACAAAATTGTCAAAGGATGTCTAAACTGAGTACCCAAAGGTCACAGTGGTGAGGAGCGAGTGGTGGCATTTTTATTGTTTGAGTATGTGAGCTCAATCACCTGGGCATTTTCCATGCAGGTGTGTGGCACATGCTTTTAGTCCCACTCAGGAGGCACAGGCAGGTGGCTCTCTGTGAGTTCTAAGCCATCCTTGTCTCTGTAGCGAGTGCTACACCAGCAGTAGCCACCTAGTGAGACTTTGTCTGAAAACAAAGTAACAAAACCAACCAGCAGCCAATTTTTTTTCTTTTTTAAAAACAGACATCCTTCTTTCTCTATGGAAAGGTACCCCAGCCCCAATTCTTGTTATGTTTTCATCTGTAGACATGCAGCTTTTACTTTAGAGAGTGGTGGGACAGAGCTAGTGAATAGAATGCCACAGAGGCATGTGAAATGGATTAGCCATCAGCACCTCTCCTGGGTTTAGTCCTTGTCCCTGTGGGTCACTGCATGAATTAATTGCCTTCTCCATTTCCCCGAGAGATTTGGGTGTGTGTCAACACTAGTATTGTTGAGTGGATACAGCAAGAGAATGTTGTGGTGTAAAGTGTAGCAATAAAATGATAAATATTTATAGATATTTCCATCTTTATTTTAAAAGTTTCATAATAAAATCAGTGAAAAGCATTGGATTTACTTGAATTATCATTCAAATATTCATATAGAGAGATATCACCTATCCATATACTATATATAAGAATAGTAATATCAACCCAATATTTTCTTTTCAGAAACTGAGGATAGTTACCATATGGAAGAGACAGGTGAGATTTTTATCTGTCTTTATTAATTAGAGTGAATTTTCTAAGAGTATCATGAGATAAAAATAAAATACTATTTATTATTTTTTAAAAATATTTAATATATCATATGATCTATAGCTAATAGTGATATTTGTGTTTTTTTATATGTTCATTTCCTGAATATAAATCCAAGTAGTGGAATTGCTCTGACATAATATACAAGGGAACTGTGTTGGGTTTTGATGGTATATACCTTTAATTTCAGACTTATATAGTTCAAAATTCTCCTGGGTTATATAGTGAGACCTTGTCAAAACACACACACACACACACACACACACACAAATATATACACACATGTACCCTGCTACTACCAGCACCTCCACCTCCACCACCACCACCACCAAAACCAAACTGTGCACTGTGCCCCACACCTATAATCCCAGCTCCCCCAGCAACCGGCAGGCTGAGGCAAGAGAATTGCCATGAGTTTGAAGGCAGCCTGGGATATAAATATAAAGTAAGACCTGTCTCAAACAAAAGAAAGAGAAAGGAAAACAAACAAAAACAAAGCAGTGCACATGCATGCTTTATAGCCTTAAATTATGGAGCCAGTGAAGCTCTTTGTCATGTTTTCCTGTATGGCATGAATCCCAGAAAGCTTGGCAGTAGCTGCTGTAGGGCCGACCTGTGCTGTTCTTGGGTGCTGTGCCCTCCTATGTTTTGAATTGCTGACTAGTTGAGTTTGTATGTGCCACATGAGAACATAGCCTTGCTCCTTTGTGCCTAGATTATAAATGAATCTATGTTGGAAGCTGTCTTATCTTTCCATTTGGCATTAAGTACAGTTCGTGCATGGGTGAAGATGGTAGATTTTAGGTATGATATATAAACTTATTTGAGACATTTTAAATGTCCCATGTCCTAATTTATAGTATCACAGAACCATCCAAACGATCAGGAAGAGATGATGAATGAACAGGAAAACTCAGGTATGTAAATATTAAAATTATCAGTGTATATTTCTGATGTGACTATGGAAGACTGAAGTCAGGGTAAATGGTTTACTGTGATTGCCACAGTGGTCGCGTCATAATTCTTACAGTTGTTTACGTTCCCTAGACCACGGAGTTCTATGCATATCATTCAACAGGACAAGGCAAATGAAGAGAAAAGGATGTGTCTCTTGAACCATGACTGGGATTATTTGCTTGCTATAAGGAGTACTAGAAACAGAAGTGAGCGTGATGTCATACAGTCAGGAGGGGTACAGACCTATACCGTCTTTGCAACTAGACAGCAGCTAGTGGGTCCTTTGCCATAGTACATTTTATTAAAGAGAATGGTAGTATGTGTGTTAGTTTTTATTGCTGTGAAAAAATAATGTAATTTTTAAAGGATGAAAGGTTTTTCAGTTTTGTAGCATAATGGCTGTCTTTGTGATGTTGTCATACATTTGTGCAGAGCACAGTATGTGTTTACACATACCCTACCATCTACCTTTCTCCAGCTTCCCCACCATTCTGCTTCCTTCCTTTTTCCAAATAAATAGTCCCCTTCTACTTCCGTTTTGTCTTCTCTCTTTTCTTTTCCTTTCTTCACCTTCTCTTCCCCTTCCTCTCTTTTGAAATATAGTTTCCATATGAGAGAATTGTGTTTATCTTTCTGATTCTAGCTTACTTCACCTGATGGTCTTCACTTCAACCCATTTACTTCAAATGACATGGTTTTGTTCTCTATGGCTAAATAAAACATCAGTTTTTATTTATACCATTCTGTCTATATCTAATCGTTTGTTGGAGGATACCCAGGCTGATTCCATGACTTAGCTATTGTAAAGAGGATAACAGCAAACATAAGTGTGTGGGTGTGTCTATTGTATACAGACTTAGATTCCTTAAGGTATATATCCTGGAGTGGGATTGCAGGATCTATCCAAGGAGGGAAGACTTCTCTTAGCTCATAGATTAAGATTATTATTATTGTTGTTGTTGTTGTTGTTGTTGATGGTTTTTGGGATTTGAACCAAGGGGCACCTAAATATTGGGCAAACATTCTACTATGATACTACTTCCCAGCCTAGAACCATATATCTCAGTATTGGGTTTACTACGGCCATTGCTTTGAACCGAAGACAGAGCAGCATATTATGCAGCGGGAGCAGAAGGCAGAGTGAGGCTACTCACATCATGGTAGCCGGGAAGCAACAAGCTCGGGAGGGGAGAGCAAGGTGAATTCAGAGACTTACCCCCAGGTGGTACAATGACCCATTTCCTCCAGTAAGTCCCCACCTCCTAACACCATTCAGCTATGAGTGAACTGATGGATTAATCCGTTGATGGAGTTAACACTTAATGATCAATCCAATTAACAGTCAATAGTGCCACTGACTGGGGCCAAAGCTTCCAACGTCTTTGTAGAGATCTTACAAGGAGACCACAACACTGTCTCTCTTAGAATTAGTTTGTGACTCTTAGAGTGGTGTCTGTGATGTGCATGTTGTTTGCTATTTGTCACCCCCCCCCCCCATTTTTTCCTTTTAGATCACAGTGAAGCAGTGAAAGAAGCTGACGGGCTGCAGCAGCATGCAGGTATCTCATGAACAGTGTCAGCCACTGCTAAATCATGGGGCACTCTCTGATCACTGTCTTTATTTGGTGGCTTTTTCTTTCAAAGAATAGATGCAGCTTAGTAGGACCTTTCTATTTATTAAAAGAATACTGAGAGCTGTCTCATCTCCTACTGGTAGCCCCACTAACAGCTGACCACTTACTCCTAATGCTAACATTTCATAGATTATTAGGAGGAATTTTTATGAAAATCAGTTTCCTTCTTTTATACTCATTCTTTTTGGGTAAAGACACACACTTGTAACTGTAATATTAATTAGAGATCTGTATTTAAGATAAGATTTTTTAATATTTGTTTCTTTTTTCTTTAGTTACACAGCTTTAATGTTTTGTTTAATACTTATTTTGTTTTAAATCTCTATTTTCTTTTTTTGCAGAGGAAGTAAGGCACCAAGACTATGATGAACCAGGTTTGTAAATATTTCCTAACCCTATGCCACTCATTTGTTTAAAGATGTATCCATACTTTTAAGTATAAAATATGGAGAATTGTGTTTTAAACTGTAGTTATAATGCATCTTCCAAAAGAGTAATCATCTTAAAGAATTTACTTGTGAATCTGGCCATTGCCTAAATAATACCTTATCTTATTTTCTGCAAGTTGCAATTACAAGCTACTTGAAAAATTGGTATTATTTTATAGTTATTCCTCTTGACTAAAATTATCAGTGAACAGCCTCTTCCGTCAGAGCTCCTTTCTACAAATTACTCCTCTCATGGCGGTGACTTGCCATGGTATTTTCTACTGGGGAAGACCTAGAGCTGGTTTCTGGCTGCAAGTCAAGTTGCAGGTTGGGTGGGGATGGGGAAGGCTGACCTGTAGGTGACTACTGCTCTTGGCTCCAGGCACCTCCAGCATGGTTTCTTAAATCCATGCAAAAGATTGTGCCTTCCCTGTTTTCTGGGCAAAAGATGCAAGGCTGGGGAAGGTAAATAAATTGCTCAACATTTTATGAGTAAGAAATAGAGTCTGTGATGTGCTGTTTTTCTTCGACCAAATTCATGTCCACTGTGTGAAGACAGAAGTCAACTGAGAATAACCAAGTAGAAGGAAGAAGGTTGAGAGAAGGAGCTGGGACCCATCTTAGTATAAAGACCTGCTGTGCTCTAGGGGACCGCAGCATTGAATTCAGATATATGAACTGTGAGCTGTAGGAATCCCACTTCATGGAGTTATAGTGTCTTAAGAGCTGGCAGCGTACATGGGGAAAGAAAAATTAAAACTGTCTGTGTGTAGATCTGCAGGATAATTTGTATATGTGTTTAAGATTTGGGAATATATCAAGATCACTATATATAATCATATTTTCTAATAGGAAATAAATGATTAGCCTAGGTTGTGCATACACAGTTTTTAAAATTTTTGAAAACCTTGGCCATTGAGATAACATTTAAATTTTTATTCTTGAATTTGAAGCAGCAAATGGGAATGCATACATCAAAAATTATCCCTAGAGCCAAGATATGAGTTATTTTTCTTCATTCTTCCAATCATGTCATGTTTTAAAAAACAAACAAACAAACAAACATGGCTGGTGTGCAGTGTTCAGACAAACTCTAGAGGAATTTAAAATCAAATGTCACAAGAGTTAAGTTAGCTACTTAATGGCAATATTTTTCACAGGCGCAGCATTAATACTAAATAGTTTTTTATTTGTTTTGTTATGTTTTTCGAGACAGGGTTTCTCTGTATAGTAATACTAAATGTTATTTTAAAATGTTAACAAGGGGTAATGACTATGCCCTGACCTGAAGGGACATCAGGATCTGACAGAAGCTTTGCATCACCTTGCTGTATATAAGTGAAGCTCTAGCAGGTAGAAACCTTGGCAGAACATCATACACATTTTCTATTGAACTCCAGAATCTGCTGAACACACGGTTTGACAGGACAAGAGCCATCTTTTCACCTCACAGAGGTCCCCAAAGCATCAAGCCTATGGTGCACAACCTAGGAAGTGAGGGCACAGCTTTGTTTTCCCACTGAGTTATTTACTTATATGTTGCCTGTCTGTGTCCAGCACAGGTGACTGCAGTACCTGTAATGAAGGGCCATGTGTTTGGCTTCCTCGTGGACTCTATAATGTAGCAGGAAGAAGAAATTAGCCAATAATTCCAATGCAGCCTTCTATTATAGTTGACAGGTACTTGTGAGAGCCAGTTTGTTGATGGCAAGTCTGTAACAATAGATGCATGCTGGCCTGTGGATTAAGTAACTGGAGATAAAGGTGGTTCATGTAAGACTCTAGGGAGCAGAGCCTTCGTGGTCTGTTGTCCTTGTGCTCTGCTCCCAAGCCCCTGCCTTCAGCAGGTCAGTCCCCACCCCCTTTAGTCTGAGGAATGTTAACTAGCCTCTGCCTTCTGGAGGGGAGGAGTGCCTAAGAGTTCTGTGACCTTTCTTTTCCAGGAGAGGAGAGGTCTGGTGGAATTTTCCTCTTGATTCCCCTCTTTTCTTTGTGCATGCGTCAATCTTGAAGCTACTGGATAAAAGTAACTAAGCTGATTTAAAATGCAAGGGCCAAAAGTCCGAGGTGGGAACAAAATTATCAGTGGTTCTAACAATGTAGAAATCAAGGTAGTCATAGCCATCTAATGGTTTCTTTGGCCTTGCAGAACGGCAGGAGATCTTGAGGTTGAGGGGGTTGTTCAGGTGTCTGGCTGCTCTCCAGTTGACATCAGGTGCAGGTGCTGGTCTGAGTTATGTGAAGTTAGGCAGTTACTCTACCTACTTCAACAGAGGTTGGGATGATCAACAGTACCAGAACAGCCTCTTCCACTTTGTTTCCTAGTGTGGAAACTCTGGGGTACCTGCATTATACAGGACACTAAGTGTAGGCCACAATTCCTGGTGGCTGATTTGGAAAGCTTACAATCGAGCCATAAGATCCTTATCAGCCTGAAGAGTCACTTCTGGGGGGTGGGTCAAGAGCCAGGGTAAAGGGAGTGGGGGTCCCATACAGGAAGAGTTTTTCGGACTCGGAACAGGGCCAGGACAAGGGACACCATCCAGTGCCAGTTTCTGAGGGCAATTTAGTTAAGGTCTCTATTTTTAGGGTTCTGTTCATTCTCTCTACCTGCCCTGAGCTCTGGGGACAGTAGGAACAGTGGAGCTTCCAATTAGTCCCCAATATCTCTGCCAATCTCTGACTTACCTTAGAAACAGAAGCAAGACCATTATCTGATCCAATTACCTCGGGCATTCGAACCCATGGGGAGATTTTTTTCTTATATCTTTTTGGCTACCACAGTAGTGGTTTCCTGCTTGGTGGGGAAAACCCCAACCCATCTAGAGATAGTATCTACAAATACTAGAGGGTATCTATATTTTTCTGGCTTAGCTTCTGCAAAATTGACCTCTCAATATACTCTAGGTTGTTCTCCCCTAGGTATTTTGCCCTGTTTACTCTTGGCCACATAAGCATTTACTTGCTGGCATATCTTACACTGTTCTATTATCTCTCTGGCCCAAAGCCTGAGGTCCGTTATATATACCATAGATCCCTTGACTGCCTGGACGTACTTATCTCTCAAATGAGTCCATCTGTGAATTTGGCCTAGTAAGTCTTTTGCTTGTTTGCTCGGGAGTATAGTTCACCCTTCTCGTGTGCAATTGCCCTTTCTTCTCTAGGTAATAGTTGGTAGGATGGCTAGCAATCTGAGTCTTTTCTTTTTTTATATGTTTTTAGTGAGCCCATCTCTTAATCTAGTCTCATTCTCCAGCGGATGTGTCTTGCAGGCCTACAACCAGGATAGGTTCCTGCATATCCACTTCTCACTTGATCTGCCTGGTTATTGCCTCTGGCCACTGAGTCTCTTTTCTTCTGGTGTCTTGGGCAATGAATAGTACTCACAGTTGTCTGTAAAGATCTGTTCTGCCCCACGTTTAGGGGCCACTTTGTTCCAGCTCCAGCTGCTGCTCAGGTCAGCGGGTCAGGGTCTAACAAGAGAGAGAGTGGGGATGGAGGGGCAAGAGATGTGAAGAATGGAGACAAGACAGAGAGTCTGTTCAAGTCCTGTTTATTGAAAGGAAATCATGGGTATGTATAAGCATAAGCAGGGGAACACAGCTGAAGACACTTTACCATGTGTGTCTTGCAGCTGGGGGCATTAAACAACAAAACAAGATATGTGAGAAAAACAAGATGTTTATCAGAGTGTGTTCAGCTATTGTGGGCTGTTGAAAACAAGACTCTTGTTGGTATACGGCCTGAGATGGCTGCAAAGATGATAGCTGCTTTCTGCCAGGAGTCGGCTCCCAACAGGTCCCCCTTTTTAAATTTTTTTCAAAAGGGAAGGCTGGGAAAACTTATGGAAACTGTGCCTGCCTTAGGTCAGAACAAAGGACCCTAGCCTCCCTTTCCCATCTCTGGATACTCAACAGCCATTGGTTGAGCTCCTGTCTTAGGATGGTGAGGCCTTCCAGTTAGGGGAAAGGGTCTTGAGGTGTTCTCTTACCTGTCATTGACTATCTGGCTTAACGTGTAAGTTAGGGGTTAATTCTCATAAGTCTTGATGATAGAGGTTTTAGAGTCCCCTACTTCCAGCCTGTAATAATGGTCCTGTATGGGTCTATCTGTTATCGTACAAAAGCCATCAGTTTGTTGAACAACATGAACCCAAGAGACAAGAGACTTAGGAATGCCTGAACAATTGGTATAAAAGCAACACTTTTTTAAGGGCAGCACACAATTCCCCCTGTTGGAGAAGTTAAAGGTCTAGTCTTGTACCCACACATTTTGAATTAATAGAAGAAATTATACCAATGAAGTCCTTGAATTTGCATCAGCTTAGTAACAATTATACAGATTTATACCAGTAGATTATGGCTATGTAATTTTAGCTCTTCCTCCCTGTTCCAATAAAACCATTATTTTCCCCTAGAAAGACAGCCTAATATTAACCACCTCAGTCCCTAAGTCTAGGGAATTGGGGCGCTGACTCTTCATTAAGCCTCTGATCTGTCTTAACTGCATCCAGCTAGAAGTCCAGGACATCAGTGGACATACAGGTGACAAGAAGATTCATTCACCAAGGCTGTGTATTCTGTAATATACAAATCTCAAAACAAATTTTTGTATCAAGATAATTATTTTGTTTGATTCTCTGGAATCTAGTCTTCTGGAGGCCTACCTCTGCCATGTCTGGTCCATATAATTCTGGAAGATATAACTACTACCTTAATGACCTCTTCAGAAAACACATAGAAAACTCTTTTTTCCCAAATTTGCCTATGCTTGAGCCATAACCAGAAAAGCCTTTACATTGACCTTTTATTCAGAGGAAAAACATAACTACATAACTCAGAATCACACACATTTTGAAAGTTAAATCACTCCAATAACAACTGATTAACACTATCTTTCTGTTCAGCTCTCTGCCTAGAGCAACCTTCTATCTATCTATTTATCTGTTTGGCTCTCTTGACTCAGAGCAGCCTGCAATTTACTCCTCGAATCTCCTGCTGACTTATTTCTTGCCCCATTTTCATACTATGACTTGACGCAGGTTCCCACTGTGATCACCTTTGTTTCACTTCTGAATTTTCTGCGGACCCTTCTTCCAGTAATGTCTCTCACTGAGTCTCTCATTCTTGCTGTATCGAGTTGAGCACCAAGCTCAAGCCAGCTCCATCAGTCAACAGGGTCTCCAGAGCAGGAGTGAGGATGCAGGCTTCCAATTCCCACAGTGTCCTTCACTGTATCCCACTTACTGAGGCTCGAATGTTGAGGTGCCACTATGTCCGGGCCAGTTCGGGTCAGTGAACAGGGTCTAGCAAGAGAGAGAGTGGGGATGGAGGGGCAAGAGATGTGAAGAATGAAGACAAGACAGAGTGTCTGTTCATGTCCCGTTTATTGAAAAGAAATCATGGATATATTTATAAGAATAAGCAGGGGAATGCAGCTGAAGACACTTTACCACATGTGCCTTGCAGCTGGGGCATTAAACAACAAAGCAAGATATGTGAGAAAAACAAGATGTTTATTAGAGTGTGCTCAGCTGTTGTGGGCTGTTGAAAAATAAGTCTCTTGTCAGGGTATATGGCCTGAGATGGCTGCAAAGATGGTAGCCGCTTTCTGCTAGGTCTTGACTCCCAACACGTGTATGTGGATGGTGAGTAGGGAACAAGGTGCTTCGAACTCTGACTCTCGCTGGCTTGATGGATGTCGGGCTTTTTCTGTAAGGAAAGGGTAACTAGGAGGCAGAGAGACCTTGGGCCCAGTTTCTTACAAATTGGTAGTTGGGGTTCTTAACTGGAGAAGCCATTTGATGGTATTCAGCTTGCAGTGGAGTCCAGGGCTCCATGGGATTCCTGGGCTGTAGCTGGTAATTGGAAAGAATGGTGGGGTCAGGGGTAGGTCCTGTGTCTAAGGGCATATTTGTTCTGGTTGTTGAAAAAAGAACTGGCCAATGGGGAAGACTGAGGAAGAAAGGGAGCCCTGCACAGCCAGGGCGAACACACACTCATTGTGTGACCTGTAGTGAGAGCCCCATAAGGCAGAGCTTAGGAGTACCCTGAGTAAAGCTTGTCCTTGCCCTTCTCATGGAGTCCTTTTCAGGCACTGATGGGAGTGAGTTGAAGAGAAGAGGAGAGTTAGTTACTGAAGAAATCTGAGGCAGAAGAAGCAGGGCAAAGGGAGTCTGGCCCAAGAAGAGCTAGCTTTGCTCCTGAGGTCTACAGAGGTTTATTTGTACATTTAAATGTTAACTGCCCACTGACATGATTATACTCTAATACTAATAATAGCATCTAAAAGATAGTCAATATTCACAAACAGTTCTTTGTTAATGTATTATTGCATTATAATACATTATAGTAAGATATATTACCATTGAAACAGACCAGAAGGTTTCTTTTTGGTGTTCTAGATACTAAAAGCATTTTAGCATGTTTGTTGACTGAGGAAATACCCTGCTGCTGGGTGTGGGGGAGGGCCATGGGAACACCAGCCTTTGCATCAAAGCACAGAAACACTAGTCCCCTGGGCCCTGGTTACCATGGTAAATTAAAGGTCCTGTCAGCCAGTTCCTGCTAAGAGAGTACCAGCAGGGTTGTTTGTCTCCAACCCACTCACTATGCAAACTGAAGACTCTGCCTGGCAGAACTGGGTCCTGGGATAATTAGCAGGGGAGAGCTCACACAGACTGGAAAACCAGAAAAGGAGAATCCATGTCAATCAGTGAATCTCGATAACAGTGATTATGAGAGGAACTTAGATGTCCCCCCCCCGTGAGGGAAGGAGAACATGAGATTACCATCTCCCATGGCTACCCAGTGGCTAAAATGTGAGCCCAGACAGTTCAGTTTGTTTTATAACGTTTAGCCAAACTCTCCATCCTTACCCTGAAATCACATTGCTAGTGAGTAAGCTTAAAAGATTTATAAATATAGTACATTGTCTGTTTTATTGTTATTCAGTGTTACATGATTTCTGTTTTCTATTTACTTCATAGTATATGAACCTTCAGAAAATGAAGGGATAGAGATTTCAGGTGAGTTTCTTATAGCAACTGCATAGCTGTAGAACAAAGAAATAAAAGAAATAAGTATTTAGGAATTGTCAAAGATGGTTTCTGAGATGAATTTGGTGTTAAGATGGCTAACAGATATCAAAATCTGAAGATACTCTAGGCCCTTGTAAAAACAAGGCCTAAAAACAGCACAGCATTTGCAACCTGTAATGAACTATAAATTTTATATTTATGCAATATTTATTTTATACCAGCAGGAGTAAGAAAAAACTTTTGAATACAATTTAGAATTAAAGTTGGTTTTGTGGTATAAATCAAGACTCTTTATGGGAGTCTCCCATAAGGAGATCCTGCCTAGATAATGCTTTCTGAGTGGATATTAGTCACTTTAGGATCTATGTCAGTGGTTCTCAACCTGTGGTTTGTGACTCCCTTGTGGTGTCAAATGACCCTTTCACAGGAGTCATTGAAAACCATCAGAAAACACAAATATTTGCATTATAATTCACTATAGTAGCAAAACTATAGTTAAGAAGTAGCAATGAAAATAATTATATGGTCATGGCAACATGAGGAGCTATATTAAAGGGTCAGCATTAGGAAGGTTGAGAACCACTAATATCAGAGGAGGAGAGTTAATGTAATATGTGTGGTTTATTCATTTATTTTCCTAGATAACACCATAGAAGATTCCAACATAATTTCAGAAGGTAAATTGTTTTTCTTGTTTTCTTTTTTTTTCTTTTCTTTTTTTTGTTAGTGTGTTTTTGAGGCAGAGTTTCTCTGTGTAGCCCTGGCTGTCCTAGAACTCACTTCGAAGACCAAGCTGGGCTCCAGCTCACAGAGATCTGCCCGCCTCTGCCTCCCGAGTAATGGGATTAAAGGCATGCTCCATACCTAGTATTAAAGGCATACCAGCCATGCTTGCCTGGTAGGTTATTTTTTAGAGATAATCTTATGTTCTACATTGAAGTAGATCAATTTATTCAAAGTCTGTGTCCTTATCTATGTGTTTACCCAGGGCTTGGAGGCAGGCAGTACTGGGGTGGATAAAGCCGAAGGGCTTCTTTTCTGTGAGGTCTCAATCCAGAGGCCAGATAGAATAAAGGAAGAGTCCAAAGACAGGGACAGAAACAGGATACTGTGAGAGAAGTAAGTGTGGTTGCAAGGCCACTCTTGTATATGAGTAAGTGACTGCTTCAGAGCTAGTGAGAAAGGGTTACTCTGGGTGGAGATGGGCTGGAAGTTGTGTGGTTCATGATGTTATTTAGATACAGAGGAGAAAAAATGCATTTATTGTCTGTTTGGTTAACTGATAGATTTTCTTGGGAAGGAAGGACTATTTTCTGAAAAGTAGAAATAGTTGCTTTGACTTTGTTAAGTAGCAGTATTTCAGTACAACAGGTCTGATAATTCTTAGAATTATGTTAGAAGAATGTTTCAGTTGGGTTGTTTTTGTTGATTCTCACAGTAGCCACTGAGGAGGAGATATGGGGCAAAGGTGTTTGTATTTTTTTTTTTTTAACAAATGATCTGCTAAAACTGGAAGGAGTTCTAGATCTGGTGATCCTGGTTCCACAGAGATAAACAGCTCACTGCCCTTCTCTCTATGATCCTCAAGTTCACTGTGTGGGCATGCTTGTGTTCTTTCTCATCAGAGGGCTACCATAGGAGATGTTTCCTTGCAGAATTACTCTTAGAGTCTTTTTGCTTGTTTGTTTGTTTTTTAGAATTCTTTATTTTATGTATATATGTGTACACTGTAGCTATTTTCAGACACACCAGAAGAGGGCATCAGATCCATTACAGATGGTTGTGAGTCACCATGTAGTTGTTCCATGAGTTGGGAATTGAACTCAAGACTTCTGGAAGAATAGTCAGTGCTCTTAACCGCTGAGCCATCTCTTCAGCCCTTAGAGTTTTTAATTCACATTTTTTGTCAGGCTGGAAATAGAGCCCCTGGCATGGGTAAGCATATTACTGCCGAGATGCACTATGTGCTTTTGAGCTCGACTTGGCAGAATGTGTGGAAGTGTAATTTGAGGAAATGTGTGTGAAGGAATGATGGCTAGATTTACTTTCCTAAGCACATACAATGAGGAGACACCTGCACAGACAGGCCCTGTGTACCTTCTGTATTCAGATTGGAGTTGTCTTCAGGTACCAGTGATGGTTACATTGAGATTTCCTTTCTTTTCTTCAGTATCTTGAATATCTCTGAGTCAATGAGCATTAGGAAAGAGAAAGCCGAAACCCATAAGGAGAATTTTATAGAACCTTCCTTACTTGAAAATAATTAACATCATTGTATTAGACAAGGTTCTTTACAGGAGCAGATCCTATACGATGACTGTATATTACAGACGGCTGTTTATTAGCTTAGCTTGCCTGATTGGGGCTAGGTAGCCCAACAATGACTGGCTGTATATTAGAAAGCCCGAGGACCTAGTAACTGCTCAGTATACAAAGCTGTATGTCTCTGCAGTCCCACGGTGCTGATGAAGACCTGAGGATTCCCAGGGAGCTGCTGGTCTTTAGTTTACGTGGAAGGTCAAAGAGGGTGGGTTCTGATGGCTTTGGATGATGAAGGTAGTGGGGTAGCTGTGCTCACGTGACAGCAGGAGGCGCTGATCTTTCTGCAGCCTCTGGATGTCTAGTTGCTGCTAAAGATTCTGTTTGTGGAAGGCTCTTACCCCTCAGTTAACCCTGCCTGGGTTAATCATGCCCGTAGCCCTGCCTCTTAGTTCATCCCAGATCAATCATGAGTAACCATCACAGTCGCCATGTGTGATTTGACCACACATATCCAGGCTTGACGACATAGTTCCTTTCTAAGAATTTTCAGACATTTTGAGACTATGGTAGACTTCTAATTCTCTCTGGTGGTCAGCAGGGCTGAGAGCCTTGTCTGCGGCTCTTGCTGGACTGTAACAGCAAAGTGGGAGTTTTATATTTCAAATCACAAACTCAAAAACATGATATTTTGATGAAATTTTCTGAAGAGTTTGTTGAATGCACGTTTTCTGTTTTTCCAGAATAGAATTAGCTGAAAGTTTAAGTTAACAAGGACTAGTGACACGCTGATGGTGTGATGACAGTGGTCAGGTGACAATGATGGTGAGATGACAGTGGTCAGGTGACAAGGAGATATGAGTAGCATATCAGTAGCAGGTGAGAGTGTGCGTGATTTTGGTTGTCATTTTCTTTTTATCTTTAGATTTTTACATTTTATTTTGTTTGTATGGGAGTGTCCCTGCATGCATATATGTGCAGTGCACGTGAACTGCTGTTGTGGAAGCCAGAGGAGCATGCCAGATGTTCTAGAACTAGAGCTACAGACAGTTGTGAGCCACTATATGGGTGCTGAGAACTAAAGATGGTCCTTTGTGAGGAGCACCAAGTATTCTCAACTGCGGAACCATCTCTCCAGCCTATTATTAATTATTATTATTATTATTATTTTACTTAAAGAGGGTGGACTGTGTTAGATTTGCTTATTTATTTTTAAACAATGATTTTTTTCTGTGTAGCCCAGGCTGGCCCAGGACTCATGGCAAGCTTCCTGCAGAAAGGTAGAGTGCTGGGATTTGAGATTATATCCAGCCTTCTGTTTCCTTTTATGTAAAATAGATTTAATATTTTATTTTCAGCATAACTTGTATAATTAAAATTAAGTTACACCAAGCACAAAAATGAATAAAGAAAGCATATCAATATTTTGAGCATTAGTTTAAAAAATTAATCTTTTTTCTTTTTGATTATTTTGTTTGTTTTTGGAGGCATGGTCTCTCTATATAACCCTGGCTTTATAAACCAGGCTGTATAGACTAGGCTGGCTTTAAGTCATAGAGATCCTCCTGCCTCTGCCTCCCCAGTACTGGAATCAAAGGTGTGTGCTGCTCACATCTGGCCTCTTACAATTCATAAGGAGTAGAACTAACAATCTCATGTCTAAGGTAGTGGTAAGTGTGTTGCTCAGTTTGATGAAACTAGTATGTAAGGTGATTTATAGAGTGATCCGGTTGGCTGGTGATGCCTGCAGCCTCTTATTTAGCTCGCTTGAATTGAAGCAGCAAAGGAAAGAAAACCAGCTAAAAGTTCACATCCACATCCTCAACTCATATTAGGATATCTGATCCTGTGCGGTGGAGAATTCGGTGATAGCTCATACTGGATTCAGTGTGTGAATCCACTCACACTGGGTTCTGGGTTCAGTGTGTGACTGTTGTATAGCTCTGAGGGGAAGGATTCTCTAATTTCCATTAGTATTGCAGAGCTCTTGGGAAAGGTATCCTGGCGGTCGGGAGCCAAGGGATACCACAGTCACAGTGCGCAGTAAACCTCTCACAAGACATTTATTAGGAGAGAAGGGTGGATGCCTCTGCTCAAGCTAGAAGCCACAGGGAATTGAGCAGAAGACGGGTTTTATACAGGGTTTCTTAGGGGTAGAGTTTTCCAGGGTAATGATTGGTGGGATTTCCAGTTTAGGGATTGATGAGTTTTCATGCCCAGGGATTGGTGGGATTTTGAGCTCAGGGATTGGTGGATTTTGGGGCTCAGTAATTGGAAGGTTTTGCTGAGTTTGCAATGGCCTCAGACCTTTTGTCCTGTATAGCGAGTAACATCCAAAACAAAAATAAAATCCAGATTCATCTTGAAGATTTTTTTTTTCCAAAACAACTTTTCTGAGCTTGATGTTTGATTTCAACAGTCTTTGAAACTTAATTTTTTAAAATGCTATTTGGTGTTACAACTATGAGGAAATCATTTTTAAGCAGAAGCAGGTAAGAGCGTCATTTAGCAATGGTAGGGAGAATCTACGCACACACTCAGGGACCTGCTCTTGTCAACTGCCCCAAAGACAGTGTAATGACAACGCTTTAGTGGCAGAATCTCTATAAAAGAAATAAGGTGCTCAGCTGGTCTTTCATCCACTTGCTTATTGAGTTTGATGCAATACTGTGGGGAAAACCAAGGTCCTAGTGCCAGTCACCGTTATATGACTCTTAGCCAGGTCCTATCTGAAGCCTGCTTTGCAACCGGTTGAGAAGTATGCAGCCTTACTAAACTGTAGCTAATTCTTTTGTTGTCATGGTATCAAAACCTAATACATTTATGACAATAATAGGTGAATTCTCTACAAATGATTACCTTAGCCATAATCTGCCACATATAATGGATTGTCCTTTGTTTAATTTTAGAAATAAATGTCTCCTCTGTGGAAGAACAGCAAGACACACCACCAGGTATGACATTTCCCTGGGTCTAATGAATTTTGCTTTGTTGTTTAAATTTAAAATACTGATGGTATTAAACTCACCTTATGAAGCAGAACTATAATGAGTAAGAAATTTGCAGACGATTTCTGTATTTTAAAAAAAAAGACATTTGTGTTTTAATGGGATGACAGTCGTGGAAAACACACCCCTTGTTCAGTATGAGCTTGTCCTTGCAGATGCTGGTGGGAACATAAGTTAGAGACTTGTGGGTTTTACTTTTTTCTTTTTTGATTGTCTGGGTGTTTGATGGTAGATATAGAAATGGTTGTCTCAGGTCAAAGTGAAATAGTGTGTATGTTTCCACATTGTCCCTCGTCCTCCATCTGCCCAGCCTTCTTGAGAGCATCAGCAGTGTCTGGGGCAGCTGAACTTGTTCAGGGCTGCTCAGGACCCCACATCTTTCCTTAGCCACTGCATGGAGCCCACTGCCCACGTTCTTCTCTGTTCCCAAAATCCCCTGTCACCAGTGAATTAAGAGAGTGGGAGTGGCCCTTGAGCCACGACTGCTGCTTTCAGGGGCTTTTCAGAGGTCACAGAAAATATAGTGGTCAGACGGGCAGAGGCAGTGGGAGAAAGAACAGGTTTTTAACCAGATTTTCCCTTATCTCTTCTCCATTCACACTTCTTATAAGTTCTGTATTTTACTGTTTTTCTATTTGTATCTTCTTGGTTCATTTTTTACTCATTTTCAGATTGTGTATACTACAGCTCTTTAGCAGTGATGTGTATAACAGCCATAGATTTTGTTAGGAGTAATTGTCCCTGCCAAATAATTCTGAATACTGACTTTCAGAATAAAGAATAGCCAGTGAATGAAATAATGAATATTGTTAGTTATGTTTTATTGTGCCTTTATATGGTAGATGGGATGTTGTAGTTTTTGGCAGTGTTCTTACCCTATTCATATATATTAGTTGATATGCAGAAATTTACTTTAGAGACCTGAATCATTGGCATTACAGTCCGAATGGGAGAAGATACCCATGGAGGAGTTTACATGATGAGTACAGAACAATGTATATTCTGTTGTTCAGAACAGCAGGCATGGCAAGTGAAACTTCTATTGATTTTCTGCTTCTTGTTAAATGCTACTTGACACTGACAGAGCAGGTTATAAAATTAGCATTTGGTGATTATAGGCCTTTAAAGAAAAGTATTTGAGAAATAATCTTAGAAATAATGAATTTTCAAGGAGTATTTTTCTAGTTGTCATCTATACCTTTTAATTTATTACTGACCTAACCATAGTGAAAGGAGTTGGGCCTATAAATGTCTGTGCTTTATTTCAATGTCCTGTGAACTGATGCCCTGATTATATTGACACATAAACATTACATACCAAGTGGTTACCAGGGTAGTGGAGTAGGGTGATTTGTAAAGTGAGATGCTTACCAACCTCAATACAGCACATAGATATAAAGATGTGATTCATAGCATAGTTCCCAGTGTGATGTTAAGTCTCAGTTAATGGTGGATGTGGCTGTTCCTGTTTAGGAATTAATTAGTGTGGCCTGTGAGGTAGAGCAAGTGCTGCTGGAACTCAGAAAGAACTAATCAAGAAGCGAGTTCTGTGAGTGGGTCTTCCAAAAGCTCCCTAGACCCTCTGCATGCTTGTGATTTGACTTTGCTGCAAGAAAGTGTGAGGCTCAGAGTGGACAGTGGTCATGCTGAGCCTTCATACTGGACTTTCTCATATCCTGTACCTGGGACTTAGTATTACTTCATGTTACAGTTTATATTATGTAATTGTACAGGGAAATAGTCAATCTATACTAATGATATCTTGGTTCAATCAGTTAACTGCTTTTGCCAAAGTGTTGCTTGTCTGATGGCAGGAACTGTGGGAACATAGCCAGCCACCAGGTCTGTCCACACACTAGAACCCTTCTTGGGAAAGCTGAACTGGAGGACTTCTGCAGAATGCTGTGATTTCATTCCTTGGTCATTCCAAGACTAGGTTACACAGTTTTGCTTACTAACATTCATGGTGACATATAGCGATAATCCCATGAGACTTTACTGTCATATAAACAAGGTAGGAAACACCTCATCGTGCATTAGGTTGGTGAATTTTTAGGCTATTTCATGGACTTACCCAATCATTAATAACACTGAAGAAGCTAGACTTGCTGGCGTGTCTGTCTCACGTGCAAGGATGCTGGGGTATGGCAAGGCAGTGGCCTCCCCAGGCACCAGAGGTGACTCGTAGATGTACAATTGAACATCACAGGGTGATTCTAGAACCTACAATCCAAATGTTTCCTAGAACATTTCAAATGAATGAAGGTCATGGAGCTGACACAAGTGTTTCGAGCTTTTTGAGTGTGCTAAATTAGACTAACCATGTTCCTGCCTGCCTTTCTCAGTCTTCCTTGGTTTGTCACTTAGAACTGAGGATGTGAAAGACTGGCTCATGATTGTGGCATAAAGCCAAGTTGTCTTAATAATGTAACTTTCATTTCCTCTGTAAATGTGTTGGTGCTTCGTAGCATTTGAAAAATCAGTCTTAAGAAATGATCATTCTGATATGAGAAATTAAGTATTTTGAATACCAGATTTTTAAATTGATTTATTAAAGTATTTACCTTTTAAAAAAAATCCAAATTTAACCTTTCTCCTTAAACTCATATTTTTATTTGAAGTCATCTGGCATATTCCTAGTCATTTCAGGACATGGATCCAAATAACTACCTAACCCCAATAGAATGACTTATGAAGGAGTCATTTATAAAGTTCCTTAGAGTAGAATTTTTGCCAAACAGTACTCAAGACCCTGTGAATTAAGTGAACCATAAAGTTTCTGTCTCAGTGTGCATACCGAAGAGTAAAAGTGCACTTTGAGAATCATTGGACCCAGAAGAGAGGTATGAGGGCATTGTGTTTTCTGGGGATTCTTCTACTCTTGGCTGTCTAAAACTGGTGATCGTGGTCTCGGCTCTGCCCACTATAGAATAATCCATCAGTAGACATAGTTCCCCTAAATTACATCTAACGAACATTTCCACCCAAGCGTCCCGCACCGAGCACTTTAAACTCCGGCAGCCGTAGAAGAGTTTGATTTCATGTTCATAGTGGCCAGTGTTTAATAATCACTTCATACTTTTTTGTTATTATTTTTACTGATCATTGATTCACAAATCATATGTTGAATAATTATTATGGCACAGCTTTGCACTGGTCAGTCAATCAATACTAAGTTCTTGGCCTGGTCTGGGCTAGAATCTAATAGGAGTGTGGTATGATAAAACAAACGTGGTAGCATTAACTTCTGAGTGGCGTGAAGGATGGATCTCAGTGGGGTGGGGTGGGTAATTCTCTTGACTTCAGAAGGACTATACATAGAGATGGTGGCCCCCCAACTGGTTACTGTGCACTGGTGACTTCAGAAGGACTATACATAGAGATGGTGGCC